CCACATATTCTTAGCATAACCGGTTTTTCGACTCGTGCACAGCCACCACAACGAGTATCATCTTGCGGCTCAGGGAGGTATGTACTTCTGCTTTACCTGATATGATCTCCAAGTTTCAGGGCCTAACTTTTGGTAGTTAGTGAGAAGTAGAAGACCGGTAAAAAGTTTTCTCCACATATTCTTAGCATACACGTGTTGAAATTGCGCCTCAAAATACCAACTTTTACTCGGGGAGTATATTTATAACTCCGCTCGTGATGTAATGCTATACATCAACAGGAAGAGAATCGTTCATAATGATATCCCTCCACGTTTCACTCTCATGATGATACTCGTTGTGGTGGCTGTGCACGAGTCAAAAAACCGGTTATGCTAAGAATATGTGGAGGGGTGTAGTGCATGCGAAGTGTTACTCGCTAGCATTGGACGTGTTATAAGCTAGTACGACACGAACACGAGTGTACTGCGGTGTCTTTTCCGCTCGCTTCGTAATTCAATAATCACCGATTAGTCATATGCCACAATCGAAGGAATAGGAAGCGGATACCTCCACGTTGATGGGTACTTGTCAATCCATGAAGACACAAAAATGTTCGCGTATTTTTCTGAATAGTACTGACCACAAGCTTGATTATCTGTCACACTCGGGAGAGACATGTGTCCATATGTTACACAGAGTCTTCGTCACAATAGTTAGTCGACTTGACAAACGCAACACTAGTGATATTGCAGTATATTATTAAACGCGAATATTCCGATACAGCGACGAGAGTAAGTTCTTATTTCATTGCGGTAATTCCAGTGAGTGATGATGAGATAGGAGTAGCAGTAAATATGATGATAATGGCGCTTAGGCTGATTGTAAGCAGTTACGCAGAAACTTGTATATACGAGTTAGCCATGGAGGTATAACTGATGATAATACTGTTCTAGATTTAACGGCCAGAGTAGTTGTGGCAACTACGACTACAAACCCCTTCTACTATGAAGTGCTACTGCTGAACCAGCAAAACAATCATGATCAAACGTTCACATAATGACCATCTACTGCGCGCCATAGCGAGCGAAAAGTCTCTGCAGCCACTGTGTAGTTTGAGCTACTTGAGGGTCGCGACCACCGAGAGAGCTACCCAAAGTGACCAGCTTAGACAAGAAAGGGGCGTCCTGAACAACCACAGCATCTCTTTGCAAATCAAAAGAGAATACAATACTCACCCGCAAGTAGGAGGTAAGTTGCTGTTGGAATGCCATCACCAAATCTCCTACTACACCAAGAGCCGACTTGAGCGTATTTGGAGAACCTACAGTTACACAAGACTGACATACATGTGCTCCACGTATCGACTTACTGCAGCCATCATCAGCCACCTTTACAACGAACTCGAGAATGCTTTGGACGTAGTCTTTCAACAGGTCCAACTTGTTGCCATCTCGCATACCATGTATGATCCCTAATATCCAATCGTCGGAGGCGGAGCGAAGCGAAGCGAAACACTTACCCGTATATGCCTCCAAAACTGAGCTCCGCAAGTCGTTGACATAATCAATCCATTCCTCGTCGGCATCAGGGCTCGCCGTAATAGCAGTCGCCTGTTGCGCTACTGCCATCACAGTAGGCAGGTACTTGGCGAATGCTGAATTATAACTCCCACACGATCCTCGACTACAAAGTCAACAATACCTCCCTTCACCGCTAGAGCAACGTCCGATATAGCTCGGAAAACGTCAGGCTTGAGCCTCTTATCCACATCTTGATTCTGCATCAGCATAACCATCGCCTCCATCATCTTGTCAAGCAGTGGCTCATTCGGTCCTAACCATCGCAGCGTTGGAGGAATATATGTTCATTTCCTCAACTGAGTTCGAGAGTTTACTCACTGATTGTAGGAGTTTATATACGAATTAGTGCACGGAAACCAACAATGAGTTCTTTAAATTTTCATACTGTCTCCAGTGCATATTCTCCCACACTGAACCCTCGCGTAGAGTCTACAATGAACTTACCTCCAGCCAGGGTGCTATCCAATGCCCTCGCCAAGTCACCAACAGCACCTATCGCCATTTGACATACCTGACAAAAGAAGATGCAAGTCAGGTCAGTAAGCCCACCGACCGAGAACTCCTCATGATTGCTTATTGCTGCTATCACGACAGGACCGAACTGCGGCATGTACTTGTTGAATTTCTGAGAGATGAAAAGGCTGCTCCCCTAGATGCAGTCTTCCTACATACCTCCCCAAGTGCGGACGCCAAACTAGTGACTGCCAAGAGAGCTTCCTCATGGACCTATACAAGAGTATAGAAAAAGATGAAAAAGAAGGCCTATTACCACAACAACATTCGGGTGTGATGCTTGCTGGAGATGCTGATAGAGCTCGAAAACCTTACATAACAGGAGCATTATCAGACACAGCGTGAGAAGGTCTCTATTACTCCCATATAGAGCTGCATCAACTTATCGGCCATTGGCTCCATATCGGCATTACCCCTCATTCTTTGCGTCACTACCTACAATCACTTACCTTCCCTCTACCCTGAACACTGTTGACCATCTCACCTGCAAGTTGCCGCAGATATGACCATGTAACTCACACTCCTTATCGTTAAGCTGCTGCACCACCGCGGGGTTCAAAATCTATAGTCAGCAAGCATGTCGGTAAGGAAGGTGAACAACTCCACTTCCTCCCTTTACCTGCTCCAATCGTGATGCCATCTCACCAGCCAGTTCTGGCATGTGCTTCTGCACATCTCTTCCACTGCCACTCACAATAGAGCTAACCGCCGCATAAGCCGCATTACGAAGGCCTCGCTTCGCTCCGTCGGGACGCTGAGAAAGTAAATACAACTTTCATACCAGAATATACCCAACTCACTTGAGCGGTCTCCAACAGCTTCTGAACAATCTGAATGAAGTAGGGCGAGAGGATGGTGGTGCTAGCATCCCTATCCTGGTCGCTTCCAAGCACGTCGAAAATCCAGCATCTACGACCATACCGACACTGTCACTAAATCTCCACCAGTAAATTACATATTCACAGCAACCCTAGGCTCATCTTGAAGCTTGTTGAAAAGCACAGGAATCAGCTCTGCCAGCATCTGCGGGTTCTGGGCAAATATCGGCGTGTGGAACTGTGCAATCCTGCAAGAACAGCGCATTGACCTCTCTCGCAAACTGCAAGCACTACCGGCCGATCGTCCAAGCAGCAGTGTCCCTGACGGCCACAGACTGATCGTTAAGAGCTGCCACTATGTGAGGTAGCGACTGAACGTGGGAGACCCTCAGCGATGCAAAGCTAAGCCCTCCTTCTTACCGCTTGGACCGGTGGCCCTAATTTCGCTGTGGATGGTCCGTCCATAATCGAGCCATATCTGATAGAGAGTAATACCAACCTAACTCGATGAGTATATTCTATCATTACGCTAGAATGGCTGCTTCCCGATGGTGCCAGTCAGGAGCTCCAAAGTTGTTATTCACGAATACAAGTACAGGTTCAACGCAGTCATCACCAACAACCTACAACATCACCTACGCTTTCCCGCTGTCCACACACCCTACTTGTGCCACTAGTGATAGGCAAGTGCCAGCGGCCATCCCAGCACTCCATGTATCATCATCATCTTCTTCATCCTAAGCATACACCTCACTCTCTTCACAGCATCTCGAGACACTACTACAAGTTGCTGATTAGCAGCCGCTATCTTCTCCGTCAGCAATGGTATGAGGAAGCCCAGAGCTTGTCTGATGAAGTTCTGCGATTGGCGAGGCGGCGCACGACCTTCTTTCTTAGCCTGTAAGCGACACCAATCTAGCAAGTTGCCATTAGTAATTACTACTACCTCCTCCTCAATGTCCTTCAAGAAGATCTCCTCGTCACAAATAGAAGACCAGAGCTCCATTGCGGGTATGGCCAGGTTATCACGCTCCTTCGAAATGCACTCAAACGAGAGCTGACACCAGACGAAAAGAACTCCACCAAATACGGCAAGCGATAGAAATTACGTTTCCTATGATCGGCATATAGGGGGCCATGAAGTCATAGTATTCTGATACAGCCTGGACCAGATCTTCATATGCTGCCACTTTGATGCTGTCATCGGCATGCTTGGCGTTCTCACACACAACTTCCATCATGAAGTTCCGCTGGTTCTGACACCGAGCAAATCGCTCCCTTTCCCCGAAAATAGAATTATAATGGAATAGTGAACAACAATACCGTAATATTATATACTACTATAGATGATACGCCAATATTTCTATGCTTTATCATATACGTCCTTGACAACTCTCTTACCTCGTCATTGAAATTGCTCTCGGCAAGTATCAGCACATAGTAGAATGCCTTGGTAGCTTCCAACTTGGCAGGCACATACTCATCCCTCATGCCCTGACACAGCACTAGTTAACCCACAACTAGCAGCTGCACATATTCCTCACCTGCACCACAGCCGTGACGATCTGTGATGATGTATCAGCAGGCAACTCCACCCCAGCCTCAGCGACCAGAGTGGCTAACTCCTCCGAGAGGTACCCAAAACAAGTCAGCACAACCTAACCACATCATCATACAAACCGCCTTTCTGAAATCCATGGCTATACCTGTTTGGTGAGAGGATCGCCCTTCTGAGCCTGCTCGGCAAGACCCGGGACTAGGTCCTTCCACTGACCCCTCGGCAACTCAATGCCACCAATAGCAGAGATGACCTAACAGTAGAATGAACACACCCGTCACCACGAAGTCGTCCACCTTACCTGAGCACTAGTCTTCCTCGCAACAACCTCTTTACTGCTTGTCAGAGTCTTCACAGACAGCTCTCGGATGCCAGCCTTGACATTCTCATCGAGTGCAAGCCACCTGGTCAATGGAAATCCTAGTGTATTCGTCAACGAGAGGCATTGAATGGCACTTCCCTCATTTGTACCTCTCTTGGCACTCCTTCTTCCTGGCCTTGTCCTTCTTACTAAGGGCGTTCTTCAAAACCAAACCCGCCAACTGTCGGACCCCAAGGGGCTTCTCCTCATTGGCGAGCTCAGCGGCCAGTAGAGGGAACAGCTGCGCCGGGTTGCTCTACAAGCACTATGCTCTACCCGTCCTATCTACAGCAGCTCGCCTACCTGTTCCGCAGTGGCAAGCTGCGCCTCAGCCTCAGACCTCTTAGTAGGGTCTTGGCACATGAGCAAGAGGTTTGTGAGATCCATGATGGGCCGGGTGAAAGGGTGATAATAAGAACAAGACAAGCGGCTGCTGAAAAGTCAGAGATACCCAATGAGACTACATAGCTTGCATATATCACTCACCCATACGACTACTACGACAGGGAATATAAAACGAGGACTACAACTCAAACCCAAGAGGGGTTATCGGATGATCGAGAGGAAGGGCAGTGCACTCGGACACTCAGTGATGGACTCCAATACTAATCTACTTCACAACCAGAAAGGATCGTTCAGTTGTCTGGGGGTATGACTCGGGAGAAACCACTTGTCAGAGGGCATATAGAGCATTTTACTCATTCTGTAACTGCTATTAGGGTGTCAAGAGCTTCACGACAGTCACACTAACAGGTAGAAGCCAGCCCTAGCCTACATAAAAAACGGGTGCGATGAGGACAAAGCAGCTTCGCTCCGCCTAATTTTTCGTTTTGGGACGAAGTATGTCCCAAAAACGTCACTCGCCACGAAACACCACGCCCTAGCTAATGAGGAAGTGTCACGGTTCTATCATATCTACTGTGCATTGAAAGTGTACTTTGAGGTTCAAGGTCTGGTTTGTGTTATCTAAAAGTTGGATCTTACATAACTTCGCTTGCATTCATACTTTGACAATTCCAGACATGTTTATACAAAACCACTGATGATCGTAGTAACACGCTCACTTCAACTTCGACAACAATCGAGCATTACAACGTATCAGAAGGAAGGGAAAATCAATGATTCCAAATCCTGAATCGAGAGGAGGCGCATAGCCAACCTACTACAGCTCACGAGGGCCAGGAGGGAACACTAGCATTGGATTGAATAACTCAACACACATGTCAAAGAATGTTGTCACACAGGCCTATCACCATCATCATCTCTGGACTGCTTGTACCCGATAGAGGCTTTGAAAATCTTATGGGGTTTATCGATCGAATTATCCATGTAGTCGCAAAACACTGGAAGGGTGTTTGATTGTCACAACACAGCTTACCAGCATGGAATGGTACCATGAGGCAACCCTCACCGGCAGCCCATGGGTCCCGCAGAATGCTGCAGTAGGGCTTGCAATGCATCATAAGTAGCTCGACATTCCTCATGGTAATCTTCTCAAGTTTGCGACACCAAATAACAGATTAAGTCATGACTACGGTGCGGTCGTCTCTATTGGCTCGACTATCTCTCCATACGAGGGGATCTCATCGCGGGAGTGTGGTCAGATAATGTTGGGAAACCCAGGATTGATCCCACCCACCTCCTCCCAACTATCACCAACGCAACTCCGTCACTCGCCACGGAACTCCATTCTTCTACCGAGGCCCGAATCGACATGTGTCGACTACGGAACTCGACACCACGCCACGGGTAAGTACAAAAGCGTGACTCCGGCGAGAACTTCAGTTCCTCAGCGACTCTTCAGCCGAACGCTTCCCATCACACATAGTAGTCTACCATTCATTGACAGCAGACGGGTATCAACCGACGAGCAAAGATCTCAAAGTTGTAGTTGTAATCATATAGACGTATCGGCAACTCTCAGTGATAGGGAGTGCTTCGCGGCTCTATAGTACCAAATCAGATAATATAACTCAGTAAAACAATTCTCAACAGCATAGTGACGTCTATTGTACGGCGAGAGCTTGATCTTGTCCAACCCTACTGTGGCGCTCCCGGCGCTCCAAAGTCGCTCGAAGGATCGTACCTGAGGACAAGCTGGCAGACACCGGGCAGAGGCTATGAGCTTACCAGAAGGCTACCGCTATGATGAGATAGGTGAGCTGGAGCATCAAACCCTCGAGCCAATTGCTCTTACCGTCGACCAGGATAGACAAAGTAATCATAACAGACAGGACCTGCGATGCATCCCGTTCAACAAGAGCGATGATAACAGCATAGGGCGCTCCCTCTTCTCACCAGAATAGCAACACTGAGCGCATTAAAGTCCAAGTCCATATGGACGCCCATGCACCAGCCGACTATCACAGCGAAGGGAATCTAAACGGAGAACATACTCCACAGTGGAACATTCACCTTTTCTCTACTTACGACAAACAGAGCAATCTGCGTACTGGAACCCACAGCAATGCCGATGGCAATCACAGGCTTGTCCATGATGGCCATTCTGACAGAAGTCACGTGCTCACAAGCATTGCCGATGATAGGCAGCAGGATGACGCCAATGAACGACGCTGAAACGTTGCATTCGGACCTGACGAGACACATCTACTTCATGGCAAAGGACATGTCCAGTATTACACAACTCCCTCAATAGACCCCACCAAGAACTCTGAGTTTACTGCCACAAGAACGGTAGAGACCTGGAAGAAGGAGATCAGAACGCCGGCACAGCAGTCACGACTAGTACCAATAAAATGAGCATGGAAGACCAGATAGACATAGTCGCTTCCGCCTGGTTGTCGTCCTCAGACTCGAAGACCTCAAGATGAGTGTACCTGAGTTAGAAACTTCGTCGAAAGCAAAATACAAGTACTCACAGTTGGAAGAATAGGAACCCTATGTAGCTGAGGAGGAGGAATATCGAGGCGACTCGAGAGATGCTCAACACAGTGTCGTCCAACTGAACTGAGCTGCTGAACTCCGACCCAACCGACGACTTGAAGACCTGAACACAAACGTGTTGCTCCCGAAGTGGTGGTGGTGTGGTATCACCGTTGGAACTGCAAAAGCCGCACAGGCTAGCAGGAGCATGCTCATGTTGGTCATGGGACCCGTCTCAAGGAACTCCTGTTCCTTATTACGTCGACCGAGCCCGCCGAAGAAGAAGGACATCCCCAACACCTGTGAAGTAATCACATGACACAATCTTCACTTCATCCGAGCATAGCCTTATTACCAGTAGCAAGTTGGACAGGATAGATCCAAGTAAGGAGCCCTTGACGACGGTTATCAGATTCTGATAAGGAGACGTTAATAACCCCATTGCGAATTCGGCCTCGTACCAGCATGAGACTCTGAATTGAGACAATCATTTCTACTGCGTTCCCGAATGTCGCATTCAAGAGACCTCCCAAAGTCTCATTCTTCAGCCCAGCCGACAGCTCCTCAGTCGCATCACCTAGACCATACACAGGGAAGTTAAAGTAATCACTTTGAAAGATACTCAGCACTCAATACTACCGAGAATGTTCGCAAGCGGTAGCAGAGCCATGAAGTTGGTAGTGAATATCCAGAGAGGAGACCATTGGAAGATGCCGGCGCATATACCGATGGGAACGAATACTACAAGAGCCTGAGGAACATCACTGTTTCCCTACCAAATTCACCGACGATTACATTGAAAGGCTCAAAAAGCATAGACTTGATTCCCAGCCACTCTTTCCTGGCAGCAGACATGGGCGGAGCGCTGCTACCTGAGTCGAGTTGGTAAGGCAACAAAGGTAGTGAAGTCGACATCTTGTGCCATATTACTACTACTACTACTACTACTACTACTACTACTACTACTACTACTACTACTACTACTACTACTACTCAGCAAAGCTTCCTCCAGGGAACTATCTGCCTTGTCTCCACTTGCGAGTCTGTCCATACGACTATTCCTGATATGAGCGGATGCTTGACGCAGCGAAATGTTAGCCATTAAAGGATTAGCAAAGATAATAGATTTCTACAAGAGGTCCCGACATCACCATCATGAACCACTCAAAGTCCTCTAGTCGGAGAGACTAACCATAGGCGCACACGAATCTCCAACACAATCGCGTTTCTTATGCGTTGGCCGATAGCACAGCACTTGTCATTGCATCGATCGCTTGAGACGCGAGGTGCCGTTAGGGTTTGGGGAATCACAATCCACGGAGACCAATTTCAAGATGTAATGGATCCATATGCACAACAGTGGCTCGAACACGAAACAGTTTTACAAATTTCTAAGCTTCTAATTTGGCTCAATGGGAGCGCGCGCGTCCAAGAAGCAATCCATCGGAAGACCCCAGGTTCGACCCCGAGTGAGGTCACTTTTACTAATCCCAATCAACTTCATTTCCCACTGGATAGCACTCATCAACGAAACCGTGTTTGCAAAGAAATCACCGGGACAGTACAAACAATAGCAAATACATACGAGGAAGCTCATCGTGACGTAGACTTTCAGGACAGTGCCACCCATTTCTGGTCGAGCTTAAGACCACCAATAGAATGGCCCGTACGCAGCTCAGCCGGCAGATGAGCGATGGAACCATGGCACACAAATCCACATCTACGTTTTCTATGTGATTCAGAGAACATCATCACCGATACAGAGCAATTGGCCGTCATGAAAAAGCTGCTTCTCTCTCCGACGTTTGACATACCAAGGAGCTCGCAATACACTGCATCCAGAAACAAGCCATGCGATACCACTACTATGGCAGAATTATCCTCCCCTGCATGCTCCTGATCGGACACGCATGATCGAGTTGGGTCGCACAATGAGGAGACTTTACCTCTTCAATCTCCCCCACAGCATCCCAAAGGGCCTCTGCAACACACTTAGCTCTAGCTCGAGTAGCAGCTTGCTCCTCAAAACCACCGGTCCACCTGATAAGACGATCATCTCAGCGAAACAGTATACTGAACAACATCCCCGAGTCACACACTAAAGAACGATCCATGTGAGCTGATAGTACCAGCCATTTATTTCGCTCTCTTCGGGGCCAATCCATTGCACATCTTCAAAGCCCCGGTTGCAGTCGAGCTCCTCGAATGCTTCTCGCCGATTCAGTCCGAATCTGATAGTGGCAAGTACAACTCAGTAAGCCGTTCCATAGTAGGTCAATCCAAGGCAAGATATACTCTCAACCAAACTCACACGAATTCCTCATCCTTCCCTCGGCAAGATCGGGGACCCTGGAACAGCCCGCCTTCCTCGTGAAACCGACTGTCTATCGCCACCTCTCCTTCACCCAGTCGGGTCTGACACAATTCCAAGGTCTAACTTCACCCTCAATACAGATCCACAAAGAGAGAGTGCGAGCTCTCACTGATCAAACAGTAACGCCCCTTACATGCCCACCTTCATCATTGGCCTGGCAGTATGGAGGGTTCGCAACATCGGTGATACGATGAGCTTCCTCACAGTCCAAACACCCTTCTCTGCTAAACCATCTGAGCACCAGAGATTCCATCAAACCGTCAGTGTATACTGACTCTCACCTAAATAACGTGCAGTAGCCTCAGCCTGTCTCAAGCCTCGCTCAGTGAGAGCGGGATCTGCCTCTCTTCCCTGAGCTGAGTGCGCTCGCGTTCGCTGATTAGCAGTCCCGAAATGATCTTCATTCCCCTGAACCATGGAAGGCTGCAATGCTCGAGCTCGGAACCATTGCCCACTCGCGTATCATTAGCGCCTCGTTTATTGTTCGCAGACTCGGCATGCCTCACAAACACAACATACACTGTCATTTCAGTGAAGAAAAAACCTACTTGGGAAGGGCCACCAGATCATCATTAACAACTCTAAACGCAAGCTCCTAGGGCACGTCTATGCAATACGATACAAGGCTTGTGCTCCAGGAGAGTTGTATATCACTCACCAGAGCGTCATCGCTACTCACAGCCGATTGTTGTAGTGACCACACAAGAAGGAGTATCCATAATCGCAGAGAAGTTAGACAAGAGACGGTACCAGTTATGCCTCGGCCGTCTTGTACGATGAATTCGCTAAGAAAACCCTTCGAGAATGGTGATATTCTTATAACAAGAGCAGATGCAAGAGTAGAACGACACTCGAAGTACTTGCCATATACAGATGCTTATGATGAGTTGAATCCCTTCTTATGAGCCACCGCACATACTGTCATTTAGTACCCATAGAGTGCTGCTAAACGAGAAATGATGACCGCGATAACCATAGAAATGAGCAGCTGCATAGTCGTGAATCCCGAAGAAGAGCCAGCCACTACCGCACTACGAGCCTGAACAGAGGAAAGCTCCCGACTGAGCCAACCAGAACCCATTGAATTGTTACCTTATTAGCCTCAAGCTCTTTCTCCAACTTGGACTTCTCCTTTTCAATTGACAGTGTATACTGAACCAGTTCATCGTACTTTCCTCTCAGCTCTCCAGCTGCGATATTGGCTGAGCTCGTAGGAGCAGCAGAGGGAACAGCAGCAACAGCACCATCCTTAACCTGAGAGCCCTCCTCAGCTGGCTTGAAGATAACATGGAGACGTTGCTCGTGAATATCCGCCTTGGCAACGCGAGCCCACTCATCACGCTCAAGAGGCTGACCTGTGGCACTGGTGGTGGCTTGAATGAGGAATCTATCTGTGTTGAGACTTGGATCCGAGGTTTGCGGCTGCAAAATGATCTGCACATCTACAGTAGCATCGGCAGCAACAACACCAGAAGAGGGTCGAACTAGATAATTGCGAGGAGCAGTCGTCTTGATTTTGAAAGCCACCGCCTTCTTGTCCCCGTCAACATTAGTCAGGGACAAGGTCGTGTTGACCGATTGATACAAAGTGTTGGGGAAGACGATTTCACCAGGCTTCACAGACAGGAGACTTGGCATGTTTGTATGATCCGATCGTCAGGTGCAAAAATGGTTCACTGACAACACCATCATTGTTAAAGCTCACTCGCCTGGTTAGAAGATTCCCCTCGGTCCGACCTAAATCGTATCCAACGCGGTTCAACCTCGAATACTCCCAACGAAAGGCTGTATACATTCCTCCAAGCCCATTCCCACTATAGCGCGTCACTCTAACTAGTCGACTGAGCCTTTTACCGGAACAGCGGCGATCTCTCATAAGACTCCAATGAGGAGAGGCCCGCTATCAAACCGGAGTCCGCAAAGTCTAAAGGGAATCAATTTTGAATCATCAATCAGAGACTTTATTTAACCTCCGAAGTGCTCACAGTAGCGCGTGCACTTGAAGTCTTGTAGTTTCTTGCATTTACTCCACGTGAAAATGCCCCTTCAGTTTTTGCCGAATTGCTCGACGCGGAGACTTGAGCCGCCATGCTCTCAACCTATTGCTCCTCATCTTGATCTACTAGCAGAGGGACTATGGATTTCTATCAACAACAACTCGTTGATAAGCCCATCTCTGGAGTGACTTTTGAAACTGATAGTAAACAGCAAAGGCACGGAATTTGTTCATACCGCACTTTCGAGGAATCAGCTACCATCATGGGTCGTTATATCGAAATTGCTCTTACTCGGGTTTGGCATTACCGAAACAGGTCCATTTAGCATGGAGTGAAAGCTACATCTCTCAAAGGACTTCATGTTAACCAAAGTGTCCCTTCCCATAGGGCTTATGCCCAATAAAATTATGGTTTGGACAGGATCAGTATCCACAAGCAGCATAGTTTCTAAACTTCTATCGTGTGAAATTTACGAAACTCAAAGCCCAGTGTTTCGTGTGAGGCGAAACGAAGTTCCATGCACCATCTCAAGATTAGTTGATCCTCGTCGACAATTCCCAGAGTGTTATCCCGACCTCATGGAGCACTACAAAGCAGTGCACTGACGACATGTATATGAAATTAGAATATATTCACTATTCAATCTATATCTCATTGATCTCACCTTTTCACCCCTTCAGTTCATCCCTATTCGACCGTTGATGCGTCCATCTGTTTCATCGACAGCCGTCAACAAGGCAATTGTCGATGAGGCCCAAGACTCGACGACCGCGCCTGATCATAGCGATTGCAGCCTCGAGTCGGAGGTCGACTTCTCACACCTTCAGAGGTTTAACAACGATCCCCTCCGCGCTCCTGATGTCGCCGGACAACATCTCCGTCTGAGAGTTTTAAAAGGTGCCTATATAGTCTTCTTTGCTGCTGGGAACCGAGGTAAGCAACACGTCTACGAGCGCGCTGCCGAATTGGGTGTGAACGTTATCATAGTTGATGAACCTAATTCTTGGGTGCAAGATCTCGTTGTTAATGGTATCGTCAAGAAATACATACCACTAGACATCAACACTCATGACCACGATCAGTTACACAGGGACGCTGTGAAGGCCCTGAGAGAACTCGACCGCATCGATGCTATATGCACTGTGTGGGAGACTTCCATTTTGCACACGGCTCGGCTGTGTGAGGAATTCAACCTACCCGGCCCTCCCGTTGAAGCGGTCGAGATAGCTCGTGACAAGAAGAGAACCCGTGATGTGATTGAAGCCGCTGGTGGACCAACCACCCGGCATATGATCGTCTCCGATGAGGCCGATCTGCACAAGGCAGCCCAGTACGTTGGGTTTCCTGCGGTGCTGAAACCAATATCGGGTTCGGCCTCCGTCGGCGTTCAGCGCGTGGATACGTATGAGTGCTTGGTCGAGGTCTTCAACGATGTTAGGGGCTCGATAGCGGACATGGTCCTGATTGACGGGATGTTCGTGCACAAACAGGGGGATCTTGACCACACTATCGAGTTCGGCTCTTTTATGTTGGAAGAGTATCTAGATGGCTCCGAGGTCGACGTGAATATAGTCATGAGTGATGGAGTTGCCACCTTCGTCTGTGTGCATGATAATGGTCCTACACTTGAGCCTCATTTTAACGAAACGTGGGACATCTTCCCTAGTACACTACCATCCGACCAGGTGGCTGCTCTTGAAGACCTGGCTGTGAAGTCCGTCGTCGCCATGGGTTTCACAAGTGGAGTGTTCCACGTAGAGGCCAAGTACACTAGCCGTGGTCCTCGACTGATCGAGGTCAATGCTAGAATGGGTGGTGGACCACTTCGAGACCAACAGAAGGCTGCTACGGGTGTTGATTTAGTCGATGAAGTGCTTCTCATCGCTCTTGGTCTGCCTAGTTTACCCCCACTGCTGCCAGTGGATGAGCGCAAAGCCGTTGTGTGCATTTCTGTCAACGCGCTCAAATCTGGGACTATTCTAAACTTGTCCTTCTCGCACCGGTGGGACTCCATCGAGGGTGTCACAGTTCTTTCTAACACGGTTCTCATCAAGGAGGGCCAGCATATAGTGGGTCCAGAGGAAGGACTACCAACCTGGCTCGCTGATGTCGTCTTCTCTACGCCGTTGTCGAAGCTGGGTGAATTGAGAGGGTTAGCTCATCGACTCGACAAAGAGATCGCTGAGGACTACTTGAGCCATTATAGTCATTCTTGATCATCGTTTCTCCTCATGATTATCAATCTGCACAGTCTGTTCAACCTCATCCATAGTAGTATGTGCATCAAACAGGCAACGACACCAGCTGTTTCTTAGTCCCCTTTTCTGCAAATTGAGATTGTCATCATATCTCGTGTAACCTATCCGACGCTTCTCAACTAGGTTATCTTGTATAGCTCGTGACTATGGACATGAGTGACTGATGGGGAGAGTGGTCGCTAGATTCGTCGTTTTTCTTATAGCCTGTTATTCTATCGCTGTACAGTACGATAACTATCGTGGATTGCTTCCGTGCAGTATGACTATGATATCATTTTTTCTGTCTCGTGAATTCTGGTAAGCCCCATGCCTTCGTGTCGTACTCGAGATCGAGAGCAGTGCCGTGATTGGTCTACTGGTTGATATGGAGGTCTATAAAAAGGGTGCTGGACAGACTGTTGAGTTTGCGGAGCTCACTTTGAGCTCATCAATGCATGTTGTTATTATCATCCCTCTGTCAACCTCAACATGCTAGCTATTACTCGATGCTTCTAGCCAACGAATAGCTGACATCTTTCACCGAACTAACTACCCAACACTCTTAGATAACAGACCGGGTATGCTTTCCATAAGTATAGTCGACTAACAAAAATTGTGCCTCGGACGTTGGCTCTTCGTCCTCTTCATAACGTGTTCGCCCGCCTAGGATATCGACGCCGGGAAACTGTGGAATCGTGGAGAACGATACTTTAACCGGATCACAAGGTGAGTCGAACCATGGACTCAGCATGCGGCACTATTCACGCTGATGCCATTGATCACCGTGCTTGCCTTCTCGCTTACACTTGTGCTTCCTCAATTATCCCACTGTGACGCATACACCGCGTCACGACTGGTGTACATGCGTTCAGCAGGAAAGGGAGGAGCAGTTGTGCTCTGTTCGTCCCTTCGCAGACTCTGATTACTTAACTGGTTGAGGTTGGTGAACATTTCGCTCTCATTCGTATAATGGACTATGCATGACGTGTATGCTAAACTACTATGTTTCCCCTCCCATGAGAAAAGCGGCGAAGGCACGCCAGGCAATTAACTTATTTGATTGTTTTAGTTTTTCCAGCATCACAAAATGCTAGCAGAGCCCATGCCTCATACTGCTACTACCATCAGTCGTACTGACTCCATCACCACTGCCACAGATGATGGCTCCTCCGAGTTCGGTTTGAAGGTTGACTTCAGCAACATTGCTCACATCCACAAGGAGGAACTATTCGCGAAAGGCGCGGCCGGTCAAGAGACTCGTCTTAAACTCCTTAACGGTTCCAACGTTGTCTTCTTCGGAGCTGGTTATCGCAGCAAGCGATTTGTTTATGAGCGAGCAGCACAGCTCGGGGTTAACGTGACTATCGTCGATGAGCCCGATTCCTGGGTGCAGGAGCTTGTTGCGGAGGGTATCGTACAGCGATACATTCCTCTGGATATCAACCAGCATGACCACGACAAGTTGCATGCCGAGGCCGTAGAGGCCTTGAGCGACCTAGACCGCATTGATGGGATATGCACTGTATGGGAAATAAGTATCCTGCCCGTAGCCAGACTTTGTGAAGAATTCGGCCTCTCGGGCTCCCCAGTGAGGGCGATTGAGCTGGCACGAGATAAACAACAGACTCGTGACGCTCTTGATAAAGCTGGCCTCCCTGGTATCCGTCACATGATGATCCTCTCTCAGGCCGACCTCGAAAGTGCGGCTGCTTATGTGGGGTTCCCAGCAGTGCTCAAGCCCGTTTCTGGATGTGCCTCCTTGGGTGTACAGAAGGTGAACAGCGTGGACGACCTATTCAGCACATACCAGTCGATCCGGAAGGAGTTCAGCGATTTGGTCTTCAGTAACGGCTCTTTTGTACACAGTACAGTTGACCTTGACCATACCTTCGAGTTCGGCTCTTTCATGTTGGAGGAGTATCTAGATGGTTCCGAGGTCGATGTAGACATGGTCATGAGTGATGGAGTTGCTACCTACGTCTGTGTGCATGACAATGGCCCTACACTTGAGCCTCATTTTAACGAAACGTGGGATTTACTTCCAAGCGCTTTACCATCCGACCAGGTGGCTGCTCTTGAAGACCTGGCTGTGAGGTCCGTCATCGCCATGGGTTTCACAAGTGGAGTGTTCCACGTAGAGGCCAAGTACACCAGCCGTGGTCCTCGACTGATCGAGGTCAATGCTAGAATGGGTGGTGGCACTATTCATATGATGCACAAGGAAGCTACTGGTGTTGACTTGGTCGACGAACAGCTCTTATTAGCTGTCGGCATGCCCAGCTTTCCTCCACAGCTCCCTGTGGAAGAGCGGCGAGTCGTCGCTTGCGCCACCATCAATGCGCTGAAGTCGGGCAGCATTTCCGACCTCAGTTTCGCCCGTAAATGGGATTCTATTGATGGTGTTGATGTACGCTGTAACGATATACTCATTTCTGAGGGCAGCAAGATAACAGGTCCGGAAGAAGGTCTTCCGACGTGGCTTGCGGACCTCGTCTTTTCGGCACCTCTAAGTCGGCAAGAGTTCATGAGAGATTTGGTTGTGAAACTCGACCGTGAGGTGGCAGAGGATTACCTCCACCATTACGATCTCTAATCTGCCTTGCCCAATTTTTCATCGCGTTTCTATTTTTTTCTGCACCGCACAGGACGGCTAGCAACCTGAGTATGGTTAACGCTATATATCTGTCGGTTGATCATTAGTTCATATCGCAACTGGAAGAGATGTCTATAGCCAGCGCAGAAGCTGGGGTCCCATCAATAGCAATACTTCGATACTGCTAATGTTGAGTTCGTAAACTGGTGAACACGGACAACTATTCTCCGCACAAGAAACGGGAAATTTACAATAGAGGTTGCAATTGGTCATTTAGTTAACATCACTGATCAGGCCTTGAGTCGGTGGAGGATCACGATATTCCCACACATCGTTTATTCGATATTCCTTCGCTACCCACCTGCAGCGAGAAGATAGCAAGTTGAAACATGAACTGTCCCCACCATTTTTTATATGCTTCAGGGCGACGCTCCATTGGCAACTTCTTGATCTGTTGACACCACCGAATATCCTCTATTCGGCTCATCACCAACTTAGCATTGTAGCTCTCAGATTCTGCATATCTGATCAATAATCAATACGGAATTAGTAGTAATAGTAGTAACAGTCCGAGAAGAGCTTACTGAAGGTGAGCATAATACCGGCAGTCGACCAGTTGCTTTAAACGAAACCACTGATCTCTACAGTGGAATTTATCATCTTTAGCAAGGTGGGAGAAGTCTGGTATAAGACCGTACCTATTCGACTACTTCATGGAAACGAAGGAATTAACACCCGTTTACCAAGCCAGGAAGTGTGGAAAATCTTCGCTGATTGCTGGGGTACGGGTTGACATCAAGGCAAAGGGAAGCTGCAGAGACCCACAACTGCCCGAACCATACGGGAAGGACTCTAACTAGACACTCATAGCTGACTATGGAAAGGAATGATCCAAATAGAGGAAGCCATCTTGGCAGGCATCGCTATCACCCTCGAAGGAGATGATGGTCACAATCCCTCTGGCTTAGGTTGGAGTTCCTAGTGCTGTTGAGATGAACCTGAGCAACAAATGGCCGACTTCGGCGACCCCCAGGCATACCCATTCCATGCGGTGGGGGCATCCCTGGCGGAAGCGGCATGCCCGGTGGTGGTGGCATTCCCGGTGGGAGTGGCATCCCCGGCGGTGGAGGCATTCCTGAACAGACCTACTACAGCAGAGCATCAACCAGGAGGGTAGTTTACCTGGTGGAAGAGGCATGCCCGGTGGTGGGGGCATCCCGGGAGGCGGAGGCATTCCAGGAGGGAAGGCCATCCCTGGTGGCGGCATAGGAGGAGTCGGGAAATTGCCCTAAATGGAGGACACTCCCGAGAACCGAGTACGAGTGTTCCCATTCTACTACCGAGGAAGGCGCTGACATCCCAGGTGGAGGAGCAGGAGGGGTTGGGAGATTGCCTGATACGATGCATTCGACTTCCCTACTCCAAAGCCAAGCTTCCTACTACCTGCTAAAGGCGCTGGGGCTGCCTGCGGCATCGCCGATGCCCCTACACTGGCATAGTACTCATTCTCCACGTGATGTGGTTGGGAACTGCATGGTATATAAGGATGACCATGAGTGAGAGATCGAGTACCTCTCCCTATTGGCCGCAATCATTCGTTCTGCAGCTGTACCATGGCGCTCTCCTTTACTGTCCTTCTTGTAAGAATACGACACTGAGATTTGTCGATTGCACAAGTATTGGCCTAAGGCACATATGTGAGCGAGCCAGGAGTAGTTACATGGAACTGATCACCGTTCATGCCGGCCATAGCAGCATCGGATGCCTCAAAGCCGTCATAGCTGACAAAACCGAACCCCTTGGATTCACCAGTCTCACTCCTCATGATTTTGCAGAAGACTACGATACCTACAGGGGGATTCTCATGGACGTTACATAACTGCATGATATTTCGAGATTGTGTGAAAAAGATGGTGACCAACCCCCATGGCTTTTCGGCTGATCCCACCGAAGTGCTGGGGACGGACCCATTAGATCGAAACAACGAACTCAAACATGTGTAATAATAACCATAACATAGTGAGAGTGCTGTTACGGATCCTCCAGCAAAGTCGCACCGAATAACTAAGATTTACTGGACCCATCCATGTATACTACCAAAGGCCGAGAATGTATCATAAAGCTGCTTCTCATCCACATCCGGACCGAGGTTTCCAATGAATAGATTGGCTCCAACCTAAGCCGATCACATACACTGGCCGCTTCGTCATCACCAGGTGTTTGCTAGTACCTCATCTCGGACGATTCTGTCAGAGGACGACTTGTTACACCGAATGGGCTTGCTGAAGAGCTTAGTCTGAGGCAAACGAAACTCCCTTGGTGTACATCTCCCTTACTGGTGCTACTACCAAGTTCATAATCTTAACAGCATAGTCGGCATCATCGGGATTCTTGAATTCGACGAACCCATATCCCTGATGGGATCCAATAATTCTGAAAATGACGATGCGACCAAAGTCTGGCCTTCCACTATACTACCTGTCCCTGGGGAGGGACACGTTCTGGATCGGCCCACACTGGATGAAGAGCTCCCATAGCAGCTCCTCGTCCACCTTGGTATCGAGGTTGCCGACGTAAATGGTAGCGTCTGGGTTCCGCTCCCATCTGAAACACCCCACATAATCGACATCATCCTAACCTGTTTTGTATCCCGCCCGCATCGACCTAAGATATTCCTTGGCACCCCCCAACCTGAACTTACCCCTCCAAGCTTGCCGCAGCCGCGTAGCTGTTGTTGAACGACATGAGAGTCGGCCAGGGCAACTACTGTAGAAGATGAAATTGAATTTCACAAAAATGAGGAACAAAAATCGCTTCGCTCCGCTCAGACGAACATCGAATCGTATTCAACTCTCCATCCTTTTTTTGCTTGGTCAACATGTGTAATCGACTGACCCGACGCGTCTCGAGTTACGAGTGTATTAATGGAGTACTCTCCCGCGGACATTACGGCGTTGAAGTTTCCGGGGAGGAATTTCCACCTATTTTGCAGTTCTTGAGCCATGCTTTCACGGAGCCTCATATCATTGGTGACTCCTCGTGCCCTTCCTTGCCTTTCCACAGTACCCCCTCTGGCTCGGCTACCCCTGGGTCTCCAATGCGGTCGCGTATTCATGAGCACCGAAGTTCCCAAGGCAGAAGAAGGTGGTAGTGATCCTCACAGTCGGTGGTCCTTTGTCACTGACTTGTCATTCTTAGAGAGCAAAAAGAAGAAAGTTGAATTGCCCATTGACGTGTATGACAATAACAAAGAATGGTGGGAGCAGATAACCTCTCCGCACGACTTTATGCCTAAGGTTGGCACTGCTGGATTCACTCTTGGATGTAAGAGTGTTCATCGTTGTCACTGCAATGAACAATCAAATGAGCGGTCATTTCCAGTAGTAGTTCCACGACTACTACTAGTAGTCTACTACCATGACCCTGTAGTATCTCCTATTACAGCAGTCCCATTGATTCTGAAGCTGGCCTAATTCTCATGTGCTCAGGTGCGATGCTCATCGCTATGATAATGTACAATGAATGCGAAGAGTCGGAGGAAGAGGCTGAAAACGAGAGGCTGCGTCAGGCTCGCCTCGCGGCCAAGGACCAACGGCAATCCTCCTCCTCCTCTTCCACAAAGCAGTAGTATTGTCTAGTTTCTTGTTTTGTTTCATACTGTGCCTAAAGTGCCGCTGGTCATGCGTTGAGTCATTCAAGGGAACATTTTGATGAGGTTGTATTTTTTGCAATGACTTTGTTGGCGCCGGAAGTTTGCTGTCAGAAGCAGGAACTCGGAAGTAGTAAGAATCATTCGCAAAACTCTGTGGCTTGTGTGGATACTTGGCATCCCTCAGGCGAGGCCGCGGACATTTCGAGGCCCGCTCGAGACGGTACTCCTGATGATGACGTGAGCTCTTCCACGACTAGGTTTCACTCTTGGGAGATTACCATTCCAGGCGTCCCTCCATCTCACAGATGAAGATAGCGCTACGAAGACTGGCAGGTCCTCGGCGAGTATCCCAGAATCGTCATACAGCTCTTCGACTAAATCAGGCTCCTCGGTAGCAATTTTATAACATCTTTTCGAGTGGTTGAACATGGTTCTAATACCTCGTTAACGTTGCGCGGCCCGTCAAAGTTGATCTATTCGAAAACGAACTGAAGGGTGTATTTTGATACCCTAGCGTTAGTCTGTCGACGTGAAGTTAACTATAGGGGCATAAAGTCTTTTGTATAAACGGACTGAGATGCTGATGGTTGCCGTTCAGACCTCGAGCATCGAGTCGGCTGCTAGGAGGATTCTGGAGTCAATTGATGGAGAGGATGCTGATCGTCAGGGGCTGCAGAAAACACCTATGCGTTACGCCAAGGCTTTGGAGTTTCTCACGAAAGGGTAAGTTGGGAGAATTGAACTCGGGACCTTTTGAGAGACACGTGGGTGCTCTACCACTCTGACAGAATCATCCGAATTGTGTATTAAGGATATTGATCGGTAATCATCGCGGCTCAAGGTACTCCGAATCTCTTGAGGAAATCGTTAATGACGCTGTTTTCGACGTCGAGCCTTCAGACAACGATGAGATGGTCATGGTCCGAGACATTGACATGTTTTCCCTCTGCGAGCACCATCTTCTGCCTTTCTATGGTGGGATGACTCTGCTACCAGCTCCGGGTTCGATCCCTGCCCAAGGCACTTTTCCTGTTCAGGAACGGTAGACATCGGATACATTCCTCGTGGCAAAGTCCTCGGACTTAGTAAATTAGCTCGAATAACGGAGATGTTTTCCAGGCGACTACAGGTGGCACTCTCCGTGTCCGTCACCCTTGTACTGGCTTCGCCATAGGTCCAAGAAAGGATGACACAGCAGATAGCCCGAGCCGTGGAGGAGGCTATCAACCCTATGGGTGTAGCAGTGGTCATCAGAGCATCCCATATGTGCATGAGTATGAGGGGAATACAGAAGACTTCTGCCTCTACCACGACAAGCTGCGTACTAGGAGCATTCAGGTCCTCAAACTTCCGATCTGTTATCGTGCCATTATCTCCTCTATAGATCCAACCCCAAGACTCGTGCGGAGTTCTTCAGCCTAATAAGCCACAAGCAGTAGTGTCGGCTCCTAGAGGAAAGGCCTTCAATTCTACCACTCAAATGGTCGTAGTGTTTCTGTGCTGGGGGACTGGTCCTCGTTCCTCCCTGTACCCTCTGGGAGCGTCCTGCTTTATCTATGGCTATTCGTACGTTACTATGCTTGGCTATATACATGCTCCTATCACTTCTCTGTGTACCCTATTGCAAGGCCAGGCGGCTCGCCTTACTGTATGTTGTTAGCCTTCGATATCCACGAAAATCTCAAAATCAATACCACAATTTTTACTCCTCATCTCTCAGGGTTGCGTTACTAGGTGCCTTCGGGAAGAGATGTTACTCAGGCTTGTTCCCGCTCATGGACGGCATCCTCCAAGCCTACAGCAAGCGGAGTCGCAGCAGCCTCGCAGGCATCATCCTATGCATCGGGCTGGTGGTGCTGGCCGTCAATAGCATCGCCTTTGTCGTCGGCTCGGGCAATCCCCAGCCCGCCGCCTCCACAACTTCGGCCCTCAGAGGGAGTATACAGGCCCCTATGGCGAGGTCAGGCCGGGTTCTTATCCTTCTGAATTCCATAGTTTGCTCTCAGACAAGCGAGATCCGATATTCCTTCTCCTGGTGCATCATCGACGATGACATACATGATAAAGTTCGGGCTGTTCTCACTGGCATCTATGGCGCTTCTTGCGGTCGCCTCCCGTCGGAGTTCGATCAAACGTCGGAGCATGATGAGTGGCTCGTCACAAGGAAGCGCTTGCCTGGTGCCAGTCAGCCAGCCTGCCGAAGAAAGCGGGAGGGAAAGTGAGCCTGGCTTGCAGTGTGGGAAAACATGCACATGCTCAACTACATTTGTTGATGACATCATGAAAATTCTGAGGAAATTCTTGTTGGTTTCTGAACACTTCTACCCTGAACTCAGCTGAGGAGAGCGAACATATATTCCAATACTGCTGGCTTGTGTGAGCTGCTCCCCCTCACTGTTTCTCGCTAGGTGGTGTTAAGCGAGTAGCAGTCCTGGGGTCGACCGGTTCTATCGGCACGCAGACCCTAGATATGTGCGGCCATTTCAATGACAGATTTCAGGTTGGTATTTATCGATTGCTGATCATCCATGGGCCTCCCTTAGGTTGTCGCTCTCAGCGCTGGAGGCTCGAAGATCGATCTGCTGGCAGACCAAATCATCCAGTTCTGCCCAGCAATGGTGGCTGTTGGGAATGATGATGGTCTCAAGGCCCTTAAGGAGGCACTCAAGCTCAAGGGCTTCACTGGGTGAAGTTTACCATTCTGTGTTGTTAACGAGCTCAGCGGCTCTCCTTCAGGCCTCACCCGAGGTACTTCGTCGGACCGTCTGGGCTGGAACGGATTGCAAGGGACTGCCCAGCCGATGTGGTGGTCACTGGTATTGTTGGGTGCGCCGGTCTGCTGCCTACAGTGGCCGCGATCGAGAGCGGCAAGGACATTGCTCTAGCCAACAAGGAGACCCTTATAGCAGGTGACTAGTCCAAGGCAGACTCTGGTGATTGCTTCTTGCAGGTGGGCCTGTCATCGCGCCTCTCCTGAAGAAGTACGGCGTGAAGCTGCTGCCGGCTGACTCGGAGCATAGCGCCTTGTGGCAGTGCATGCAGGTAGAGGGACTCGATCAGTGGTGTTGGTATAGTTTGTCAGGGATGTCCATCGGGCAGCATCAGAAGTCTCATCATCACAGCAAGCGGGGGTGCTTTCCGAGACTGGACTAAGGAGCAGATGGAGTACGACCAGGACCTCCATTGGCAATGAGCATGGTTCCTTCGTCAGGACGGCAACGGTAGAGGATGCTCTCAAGCACCCTAACTGGTCGATGGGGGCTAAGATTACTGTTGACTCCGCCACCCTTATGAACAAGGGCTTGGAGGTTATCGAGGCACATAACCTCTTTGGCATACCTTATGATGATATTCGAGTAGGCTGATAGTCTTCCTCTTCTTTGGATCAGTAGAATTCTCTATAGGCTGTAATACACCCACAGTCTATCGTTCACAGTGCGGTCGAGCTGGAAGATACTTCTGTCATAGCGCAAATGGGAGTACCTGATATGAAGCTGCCGATACTGTATGAGTGATGTTTCTCCTAGTCCCCTCGAGGGTCATCTCAACAAGGTACACACTGGCCTACCCACAACGTTTGCATCACGATGGATCAAGCCTACAGCGGCTCTCTCTGAAGGACCTCGAACGTGGCCTTACTTTCAAGGAGGTTGATACTGACAAATACCCCTGTGTTGAACTAGCGTACCGAGCCGGCAGACGTGGAGGTGAGAACGTCTTAAGTTGTTAATAACGTATTTATTTCGTCCTACTTTGAGAATAGTTGAGGACGTTGGCTGGGAGGTTTCCACTGTTTAGGAACGGCCCCCGCAATCCTGAGTGCGGCAAACGAGAAGGCAGTGGAGCTGTTCTTGGACCGAAAGATCAGATTTCCGGACATTCCTAAGGTCGGCATGGCTGCGAGTTGGCCCAGGTTATCCGCTTTTTTTCAGATCCTCGATGCGGTGCTCACCAAGGCCGAATCGGAGGGCATAATTCTGGATAACCCCACGGAGATCCGCAACATTGTAGATGCGGACGCGTGGGGGCGGGAGGCTGCCGCGGCGGCGGCGGCGGTTGTTGTTAACCAGCGCTCCTGCTGATGAGTTGGTATTGATATTTCTCTCACTGAATCGCTTATCTATAAGCACTCGCAAGTTGTTGCTTCATTAAGATAAAGAATGTGGGAAGTTTCCTCTCTTTACTGTCTGTTACTTGGCAGTCAGTTTACTATCAACGCCGTTGATACGAGTAAGGCCGTAGGTTCAACTGTGCTCCTCCTAATGTCGAGAGCCTGGCGGTACATCGTGAGGAGATCTGTTTTCAATTTTAGCCTAGCCCTGCGAAAAAAGTCTATCAGAAATGAAACTGTGAGCGAATTATCGCGTGTCCTGATAAGTATGGCTTAGCGCTGAAAGAAAACATTCACTTCGTCTGTATGAGGTGTAATGAAACCTGTGACCAGAGCTGTAATGTAATTCGTAAGTAGTGTGGTAGAACTCGAATGACAGTGGCACCTTTCCTGACCGTGATTAGCGGGATCCGTGTGTGAAAGTCAATATTTTTGACACTTTGGTTGAGTGGTTAAAGTGGCGGGCCCTGCCCGCAGGTTCCAGATGTCGCTACATATAGCCATCGTAGTATGATGCTACGATGGTTCAGATGCTACTAGCATTCTGTGGTTTATCTCGGGCGTTCTCCCTGAGAGATGACGAATGGCAACTTCCTGATAAATTGGTTGGCTTCACTTCCAACGAGGAAATGAGACACACTAACGTGATTAAAGCCAGTCTACACATCCCAGGCGGCGCTGTCTGTGTGAACCACTTCGCGGAACAACAGAACACTACAGAATGCGGAGTAACTCGACACAACTAGTACCACGGTTTAACCATGAAAGATGAGATATTGTGAATTCAACTGGTTATACTGTACTGGACAGTGGTGTGAATATCGTCAAGAAAGACTCAAGTCATGTCAGGCCGCTCTCAAGGAGTAGATCTGCCGCCCGTCGCATTTTCGCTTCGCATTGGACTTTCAAATGCTCATATCTGATGAGCCGGAATAAGTACATTGCAATTCTTGACGATTGAGAGCTGTAGAGTGGGAGTCACGAAGTAACAGTTCCGTCGGCTCGAGAACAACATGCTCCTACTCGTTGAGAACAGTCCTCAGCTCCTTTTCCACGTGTTTCACACGCTCCTCCGCCACATGCGCTCTACGCTTCATAGCCTGCAGGCGATATAATATTGAATGAGTCATAGGTTCGAGTAGCTCACGCACCTCCCGATCACGGGACAGCCTGGCCACTTCTCGATCGTTCCGCTGCTGTGCCTCTTCTATTCTCCTGTCGAGCTCTAACAGACTCTGAAAAAACACATCCAACACTAATATGCAGCAAACCTCCTGCCTGACACAGCTTCTATTGGTGACTTTGTCAAAAAAAGCAAGCACGTCGTAGATATAGTTGAACACAGTGGCCTCTCACCTTCTCATGCTCACGGTTGAGTCTTCTTTCCACCTCTGCCACTTTGATATCAGTGTCCTCCTGCATTGCTCTCCGCATCTCTTCCACCTCAGAAGTGACATACCGTAACGATTCATCTTTCTGTGATACTTCCTCGCGGAGCCTTTCAACCTGATCGGTGGAGATGAGCATGTTCACCTCGTCCACTGCATGAGGCCCACCTCCCCCTCTGCTGCAGCCAACTTCTCTTCTGTAGGTGCGAGTTTATCCCTGGCTCGATCAGCCTTACTAACCTCTTCATCGAGCAAGGACTGCCAATCCCTATACCGACCAACGACTTCTTGTTGCACTCCACAGCAAGCACTCACCTGTCTCGCTTCTTCCTCTCCTTCTGGCACTGCTCCAGGTCCGCCTCTAGGCCCTGTATTTGCTTCTTCAGAGCCTTCACGTGCTCTGCGCTGTCTGCTACCATCCTCTCCTTCACTGTTGCTTCGATTGCGTGCTTCCGTACCTTCCGAGACAGCTGCGAAGCGTAACACTTCCTTCCCCTTCTTACCAGCTCCTCCAGACCCTTTACCTTGCTCTCCAGTTCTTCTTCGCGTCGACGGGCACCTTTCATATTCTCATCATGAGCACATCGGATAGCCTCCGCAGCCTCTCTCGCCCTCTCAGCATCTGCCGCTTTCTTCCTTAGCTCCGATACCTTCCTTCAGGAGATACCAACCGTCCACCTCATCCCTAGACCCACTATCGCTTCATACTCCTCCATTCGTCTACTCCTCTCCCCTCTCTCACTCTCGGTCTCCACCTTGAGCCTCTCGAGCTCAGCTTGGAGCCCCTGGACCTTCCTCTGCAGTATTGCCTCTTGTTGGGCCTCCTTTTCCAACTGCTTGCATGCCACAAGGAGATCTTTCCTCAGAGCCGAAGTCGCCTCCTGATCGTCCATAGTCGAGACAACATCTCGTAAAGCCCAAAAAACCACCTTGAATTCCCTAGCCTTGGTCATTTCATGTTCCACACTTGCAGCTAGGCCCACGACCTCCTTCTCCTTGCCGGCTATTTCTTCATTCAGCCGATTCACTTCCTTCTCATGGACATCCCTCAGCGCCTTCACCTCCGCCTCATGCTCTTTTTGTTGCTTACTCCGCTGCTTACCGTGCTCCGTCACCATCCGCTCTATGTCTTTAGTGACCTCCAATTCTACCATCCTGAACAACTCACAAAATGCCCCACAAATTCACCAAGGCGACCCACCTCAGAGCCTTCCTATGCTTATGGGCCTCTTCCTTCGCCTTGTTAAGCTCCCTTCTCAGCTCCTCGATCTCTCGCTCCCTCCCTGCTGCCTCCACCGCCACCACCCTGTCCCTGTCCTCAACTGTTGTCCGTAATTCTCGGCTTGAGACCTTCTCTCTGTCCAGCTCCTCTTCAACCTTCCGCAGCTTAGCCTCTATGGCTTCCTCTGAAGGCATCACAGAAACAACGTCACGAAAGCACATCCCGGGGCATAGTCGAAGTAGAACCAACCACAGGATTTCCAACTAGCTGACATTCGAAGCAGTGAAATCTGTATTCAGATCAACGGACAGGTGGTGGCCCCAAGAGCTACAGAGAATCCTCGCGGAAGGAGTATAAAGTTCTTTTCCAAGATTCATGAAAGCTTACTCATCTGCCTTTCGCTCTCCAACTGAGCAGTCAGCTCTGTCACCCTGCTCTCGTCCCTTTCAGCCTTGAGTCGAAACTGCTCCTCCAACGCCGCATAGGCCTGCCGCTGACATCTTATTTGCTCTCTACGCTCCTGAGACATCAGAAGAACAACTTCCAAGTTCAAAAAGGGAAGAATGCCGCAGAGATAAGACGGGTGACCCGATACCACGGCTCGTCTAATACCACACCAAGTGCTCCTCATCCATCGACAATGGGCAACGTGCACATTCCAAGGCTAGATACTGTATCACACTGGAGCCCATAGCAGATATCTAGTTGGTATCGAACCTCCGAGGACCACCTGAAGCTCCCTCTTCAAATCAGCGACCTCTCCCTCCAATCGAGATGCCTTCTCCTCCACAACCCCAATAGCCTCGCGTTTAGCCGCCTCCACCTCAGCCGATACATCCTCTCGTGACGGCTTAACAGGAGCCGCTACGGGCTCCTGAAATGTCGCAGTCGAGTAGCCCACGCGGCACCGTCAACTTACCTCTGCCTTGCGGGCCTTCAAACTGCTCACTTCCAACTCCAGCTCTCCCATTTTCCGCATGGATTCCTCCAAGTCTTTGACTTTCTCCTCCATGTTGGAGCACTTTGTGATCAGATCTTCCTTCGCCCTCCTGTTACGTGACATTCGCTGCCGATGCAGTTGTCACTCAGGTGCTCTTACAACAACTCCTCCTTCTCTCGCTGGAGCTCTTCCACCAGCTTATGCGCCTCCTGCCCCTCCTGCTCGCTTTTAGTGAGATTCTCCTCGAGAGTCTTCAATCGTCTGTTCCTCTTCTCCATGTCGGCCTCGAGCAGCTTGAGGTCCTTTGCCAGAGCCGCCTCGTGCTTCAATTTAGCCTTCTCACTATGCTTCACTGAAGCCTGCAAGCCCGCCTGTTATCCACACCTTCTCCCTCGCCCTACTTCTAGACGACGGCGCTCCTCCTCAATCGCCTCCAGCTGGTCCCGAGTACCGTCCAGTCTGGCCGAGGCCTCCCTCAGCTGAGGAGAAGGCCCTGCCGATGTCCTCTAGCCAACCTTACCATAGCTTCATAGTGTTCCTGCATAGTCGCGACCATCGCCCTCAGCTGCCTCACCTGCCTCTCGCACTCCCTATGCTCATCTCCCTATAATATCATCGGAGTCATCATCACGAAAGCCCAACCATCTTACCTGTATTCGCCGATTCGCTTCCGCAGAGTCGTTTTGGGTAGATAGGCTCTCGACAGCCTCGACCTGCTGACTCCGGCTCAAGCTGCTCCTTCCTCCCCCAAGCGGCTCTGACGCTGCCTTCTCCTGACGAGCTCACTCCCTGCGATTGAGCCACTGCCCATCTACCACCCTTGATCCAGTCGATCGTGATGTATCCACCCACGGATTTCTCAAGTGAGAAGCAGACCGCCTCGTGCTGTGTTGAGCCAGAGTACCACCTGACAGACCCAACCACTCAACCCAATAGAGCACAGACTGTATAAGCGCTCATCGGTTATTATAATCGGACGCATATAGTAGTATTCCGCTCTGCCGTCTTAGAGGCTAATACTCTACATCAGCTATGTAATACTCAAGTCTACCACACTGCGACTCAATGTAGGAATGTATGTTTGGTTTCCTCAACTGAGCTCGTAAGTTCCCTCACTATATTATGAAAAACTCCGACGATTTTGGGTATAACTATACAAAAATCAACGATAATTTTCTCAAAATTTCCATATTCCTAGCAACACATGAAGTTGGCCACGTGCATATATCCCCACACTGCTGCGACTACAACCAAAACAGCTTCTGATTAACTCCCCCATGGCCTCGTCCATCGGCCCTCCCTAAAGGCACCTGTTCGATCTGCGGGTAACTTCACCGTCTCCTCCTTCCTCGTGCACCGCAGCATAACAAGAGCTTTGCTCCTAGCCTCCCTCCGTTCATCTTCCGTGACGATTCTCCCATCCAAGACCTCGATATCCGGTAAAGTCTGCAGCACCATCAGACGGTAGTTCGCGTCTTCGCATATCGTATTGCGGTGCTCTCGAGACCCACGCATGAGCAACTGAGGGCATTATCGTCACGCGCCACGAAAATATTCAACTCACTTGTTTTATAGTCATCCCTGATATATACAGTAGCTGTGTTGAATCCTCGATGCGGTTATCTCGAAGGTCTAGATAGGTGACACCAGGGAGCATACTCTCAGAAGCGTCGAGTGGTGAAGACTGAGGAGGAGGAGGACGCCAGCACTGACAAAAATACGATATGGACGGCAACGGCGACGACGAGGAGGATGATACCTGCTGAAGACCCAGCAGTTGACTTATGCTGTTACCCTGCAGCTCGAGTCTCTCAAGGGCCATGAGGTTACCAAAACTCGAGCCCGCGTCCTCAAGAGAGGTAAGACGGTTGTAGCTCAGGTCTAGATGCTTAAGGTGAGCCAAACCATCCAAACAGCCGTCGAGGCTCTTCACACGATTGCCAGAGAGTCTAAGTTCGACCAACCCTGTGAACTTGGCGAAGCCCCGCAAGGACGTAATGAGGTTGTGAGACAGATCCATGGAGGTGATACGCTGAGCGTCTCGACTCCTGAGCTCCTCGAGATCGTCTGGCGAGCTCAAGCCGAGACCTGGTGCCTGTACCGTTGTGGTCCCCACTCCCTCATTGACGTCAGCGGACATCTCAACCCACTCACTACCAGTTACCACGCCTTCACCAAATTCACCAACACAGCAGACCAGACGATTGCCAGAAACCATGTTCCCTCAGCCTTCCAATCCTTATACCCATATCTCATCATTGAATACTATTACCTCTTTGGCCACCTTCATCGGCTTCCGAGGCCGCCCGTCTGCTGTTGGGGAAACTCATTGCGGCGTCTGTGAATTCCTTGATGCAGGGTCCTCTCAAAAGCGAGAGTGATAGAACTAAAAAAGGAGAAAAGCAGACTGAGATTCTCAGTTCTTAGAGAATCACTGCACCAATGAGCCGCAGTACCTTGAACCACATGTCTCGTCACCTCCCCCCCAAAGTGGATTTATGAACATCACCACGACAGAGTGAATCAAACAGCTGTTTACGGCCGAAACTCTATTACCATGTAACTGGAGACTGACTAGTGATCATTGAAACGGTGGGAAAATCAACAAGCTCTTGGAACCTGTCATCGTATAACATCCCCTTGTCACAACAGCCAGCCAGCGACTGCCCTTTGAGACATCCTGGAAGGCCACCAGGCTTGCTCAGACTCAGCGACACGTCCAGACAGCTGCAATGTGCCATACAGATCTACTCAAAGGTCTGACGAAGTAGAAGACCTGCTGTTATCGTCATCAACTTCTGCGGAGCCAGAGTCGCTGGACAGCTCGAGATCGAAGGAAGCTGCAGGCAGTTTGGATGCAGGTACGTACTTCCTATAGTCTCCATAGAGCTGCTCAACAGACTTGGCCGCAGCTGCCCACAAGCCCTTGATTTCCCCAGCCAGAGAGGCCCAAGTTGCCTCCAGCTCACAGAAGTCGAAGATTGCCAATGTGGAAGCGAAAACGCCAAATTCGCTCCAACCGATCAAAGGCAGATGGTCAAAGCGAGAGAAGTAGTCCTCTCTACTACCAGTAGGAGCACTGAAGGTCATCCTCGGCGACAGATCAGTGAGGACCACCTGCATAACGTCGAGCCCTCTAACAAGCTTGGGAAAACACACAAGCCTCGGGTACCTCGCGCCGACACCAGCAAGACGAGACAAGGGTAGTGGGAAGTACTTGAAGGCCATATAGCTCAACGACCCGTGATGACGTTCCAAGATGTCATCTACACTGACTTCCATACGGTGCGGCAAACGGCAGTGTGAGAGGTCCAATATGATCAACTGGTTGCTAGGTAACGCCGCGAGACACCGTAGCGTCTTGCAGCTGAGCTTACCGGCCAGGACGACCTCCTCAACCTTCGTACCAAGCTCAACAGTTATGTATGATGAACCAGTAGAAGCTAGATAGACCTCCTTGCAGCTCTCCCCAATGTAATCGATACATTCATCGATTTCCACAGAGTATTCCACCCAAATACGTTCCAGACGGCCACGGAATTCCCCTAGGCTTTCCTTCAACTGTTCGGCTGCAGCAGCGCTTGAGATTTCGATACCAAGCCCAGAGATGTGGGGTAGAAAGGGAAGGAGAGCCTTCACACTTTGAGGACTCTGAATGGGAACTCGGATGAACCTCACCGAATCTGGGCAGACCTCAGCCAAACGCTCGTTGATTTCCTCATCATCACCATCCAGTAAGAATATGTTCGGCAACCACAAGAGCGAACCCACGTGGAGATGCTCATAAGACAGCTTACACGTTCGCCACAGGCTGCACACATCAGACTGATACAAGAATGAGGACACGTGCCGGACGAGGTCAGCTGAGCAAAGCCACTGGTCTCTTGGACAGTCACTGACCATGCGAGCAAAAAACACACCTACAAGGGAGATATCCGCCACTACCATGCCCCGTTGGAGGAAACCCAACTGCTGGAGCGATGGAATTTATCGCCGTGCATTGGGAGCAAACCCAAGCTTGAGTCACAGTTAGCGGTGACACTATTTCTCGACATCGCCTCTATA